TTCATAAAATGGCTCGGCAGCATTGTTAGCGTTGCTGAGCATATCTTCCACTTGCAGCCCGCTGTGCCCTTTGGCTAAAATGAGGGAAAGCTTGGAAGTCATTTGGAGATTTACCTGGTGAAAACACAAACTCACACACAGACGTGTTCCTGCTACACGTTCTCATGGTGAGAGACTTTATCCAACGTGACAATCGACTGTATCGTAGCTGACAGCTGCCATTGTCCCTCACTGCAGATTTGTGACACTCGGAAAAAAGCAAAATATTGAAAATACAAAGTAATGGCCTCAACACCCCACTGTTGTCTCTGTTAACTCAATAAGTTATTTGTTTTATTTATTTTCATTTCACTCGTCTGTGTATTTATTTGTTTTACGCAAAAAAACTACAGCACGGACTTCCACAAAAGTTGGTGGAAGGAGGGGACATGAAATAACTTTCTTTTCTCCACTTTCTTTTGACATTGTGAGAGATTTATTTTGTTGACACTTCTACAGTTTTGAGTAGAATGAGAGTAATTCCTGGATCATATTTGTGAAACTATATCTGTACGTGTGTCTAATGTGGGGTTCTAGTGTCATTCTAGTTTTTCCTAATAAATGTTTTTAATCTGCCATAAACATAAAATTATAATTGTGTTGGAAAAACAACTTTTCATGTGGGATCACATCAGTCCAAATAAAGCCTGGTAGAATTTCAAAAATAAAAGTACTTTTGAACTTATTTTTTCACATGATAAAGTTTGGTGTTTAGACTTTAAATCTTTTCCTTAGTACAAGCTAGTTGCAATAAAAGGTGTTGACAGGGGACAGATTATTATTAATATTCAAACTAACCAGGACAGTGTGAATATTAGAGTCACTGAGTCACATTACTGCAGTGTTTGTTTTTCATTGTTCAACAGACGTCACTTAACTGAGTGTCCCATGTTTACTCTCCATCACTTTTCCCAGTACATAGAAACAGGGAGATCCAGATTTAAGAGAATTCCTCCAGGGTTATGATTCACTGGGTGAACACGCAGTATAAAAATATGGATCAGTACATGAAGTGAGATTTGTCCTTGAGTCAACTTCTCCTTGACGTCTCTCTGGAAGTGAGACAGCGGCACTGAAAACTTTACAGAGAGAAAATACTTTTTAAAACTACTACAATTTGCAGTTGATGTAAAATAAACACTTCAGGTTCAGTGGCCGAGTGTGAACTTCACTGCTGAGTATAAAAACACAGCAGTTTGTGTAGCGTCAGAATGTGGCCGGTATCACGGCCTCGTCTGGGCTATTTTTACCCAGAGTCCGTCTGATAACTAAGCTCCGTGACCATGAAGTGACGAGGGATAAAGAGTCAGGACCTCAAAAGCATGTGATCCTCTTAACCATCGGCTGCACAAGACAAACAACGACAACAACCTCACATCAGCATGTTTGTCTGATAAACTCTTCTCTTCCTCCCTTATTTTTCATTAATTGTATTTTTATCATTTATTATTATTATAGTTTTATTGATTTTGAGGTTAAAGTTGCAAAGTGAACCGACGGTTTAATGTGAAGTTTTACTAATGATGACGAATCAGCAGTTAAATCTGGTAAAAAGCTGTCGTCCATCCATCCATCATCTTTACAGTTTATCCTCCTGATTATAAAATGAATAAAAGAATGAGCACAGTGATGTCACACTAGTTGACAACTTTTTCTAATAAACAGGCTTCGACAGGAACTTTAATCTTTGACGTCCCAGAAGTCAAAGATTTCACCTTTAACCAGGATTTATTGTGCACTTTACTTTCACTTTTAACATGATGACACATCTTGTGCTGTTAGTGCAAATACTGATCTATGAATAAATTACAATACACATGTTTGCTGGTTCTCTTCCTTCTCATCATCAGCTCGCATCCGTATATCGTTATGAATTATCCACTGGGGCCTGAATAATAAGTGTAAGATCCGATTCCAATGATGACAAAGTGTCACCAGCTTCCACTGAGGTGATCTTCCGTCACCTATCAGGTCAGAAGATGCTTCTCAGTGGGTCGAGGTGCGTTCACTGCCAGCATCAGTGGTTTGTGAATACAAACACACTGGAGGTGCTGTGACGGCTTCGGATTGAAGCACCAACGTGGTGAAACACGTCGTTCCCTCACATGAACCTCACAGTAACGTGTTGTGCAGACCTCTCTTCTCTCTGATCATCGCTCCTATTTTAGGAAGTGTTAACAAGTGGCCAACACGGCTCCACTAGAGGCAATTAAAATGCGCAGTGAAGTGAGAAGCAGGGCAGATGGTCGGGCAAAATGTGGCACAGTCCAGCTTGATGCACAACTGGTAAGACAGGTTTTCTCTGCTAAGGTCTGAGGCACAATGTGCTTCCTGTCACCATGGCCGAGTCAATGCAGCTGCACACATAACATGACTTAATTACTCTTACATTATTTATTTTCATTAAACCTTTTCCACCAGTATTTGATTTAGACCAAATGAAAGACAACAAGTACTGGAGATGTGCAGCAAACTGTGACATGCCTGTGTTCTACAGATCCAAACTCTAAAAACCTGAAAACACTGGTTAAGAAAATACTGCGAAGTTTGTGTTTGGGACAAAAAGATGACGACTAAAACAAACACAAAGGAGAGCAGCAGGAGAGGTGCCGCTGATGTGGAACCACAATAAACACAATTACATGTGGCCTCAGGGTCGTGACACAGAAGCTTTGTTGTGATGGAGGTAGACGATTCTGTTCCACAACAACAACCACTGTCATTTTATCAAAGTATTTGTAGCCCGTGCACCAGCGGTCCAGAGATTTTGTCTCCAGGGTCCAGACTGCTGCTTGTGTTTTATTCTACCAGGCAGTTTTCATTCTAGACGGTTAATCAGAGATTTATTTAGACCGGGACGCCAGGTGAATTTAAACTAGCAGCTAAAAAGAAAACCAGCAGTGGTCCAGACCCTGAGGACTGGATCTGAGGATTACCGCTGTAGACTGTGTCACGGATATTGATTTTGTCCTCGGACTAAAAGCCGACCCAGGCTGAAGGCAACAACTTCACTAGCCTCTAGAAAACATACCCATCAATCCTGCAGGAGCCGAAGGCTTTTACCTCAGGTATTTGACTTCAAGGGTTTTCATGCTGGGGGCATTTTAAACATGTGAGTACTTGACTGGGATTTAAAGGCCCAAATGAGTTTAAGGGGTATTCCAGCAGTATAGAATGTGACTTTCATATCAGTGCATGTCCGCGATAATGGGAAACTTGTGGGAGAAAAAGCAAAGCAAAAAAGAAAAGCAAATGCTGAAATAACCTGAACAAACTCGACAGCTTCAATCTGTGGACAGACTTTCTGATAAAGAAGATTTATCTTCCAGGTCAAAGCCAACAGAACCCTGATCACATCATCTGGGTTAGACTTTCAAAAGTTCCCTCCAGGTCTCCTTGACGAGAAAAGTCATAGGCGTACATGTTTACAAAAAAAAAAAATACAGGTCGGGCTGGGTGATAAAACGATAATTGTCTCGGTATAACTTTTCCTCGATAGAAATATAAGACGTGGTCGATACAACACTGTTAGAACTCATTACATCTGATACACAACAAGAACAGCCAATGATAATGAGAATAGCATCGCACCGAGCCAATCAGTCAGGTTTGGTTGACGCACACAGCACAGAGCGTGGGAGGAGCAGCCGGCAGCAGCTCACATGCTAATGTTTGGGCAGCTGTGCACGACAGGAGCGGAAGCGAGATAAAAGAGAAAACGGAAAACTCGAGCGACAGTGTTACAGAAGAAGACGCAGCGGACACAGCCCAAGGCTTGAAAGATGAGGACAAACGAAGGGTCTGAGGAGAGCGGAGATATTTTAGCTATTTAAAGTCAGAGCAGAAGAAGAGTAGTGAGCACTGCAAATTGTGTCGAAAGCATGTTCCCACAAAGATATTTATCTATCAAAGTTATACCGATAATCTTTTTTACCATCTGAAGCAGAAATGACAGAAATAGTGGTTTGCTTTATATCGTCATATGTATCGATATTGAATTTAAAGTCACGGGTCACAAATTGAGCGTTTTAATTTCGGTTCCTTCAGAGATTTGAATGCAGCACTTGTGTCTAACAATGGAGACCCTCTTTGACTCTTCGAGTTACACGTTTATCCTCTTCTAGCATCAAAAACAGATTGAGATTGCTGTTTTTATTTTTTGGACATGATGTTTTCACCACTGTCCGTTTGTTCTCTGTTCACAGACAGTGTGAACGTGAAGGAAGCCGATGGGAGAAAGAGGTTTGGCTCTGACACCGTCTGTTGACGCGAGGCCTCTAAACGCACACAGCAACAAATCACACCTGGTTTAGCAGCAGCATGGAGCCTGATGTGCTGCAGCAATAGAACCACATATCCCTGCTTAGTTAGCCTGTAGCATCAGTGTTAGCACTTTGTGAACATGTATCATCATCATAATCATCCTCCTCATCTTCTTCATCATCATCTCCGTCATCATAATTATCCTCAGTTTTAGCACTTTGTAAACATATGTCATCCTCATCATCATCATCCTTCTTCTCATCCTCATCATCCTTCTCCTCATCCTGCTCATGATCAACCTAATCATCATCCTCACCTTCATCGTAATCATCCTCCTCATCTTCATCATAATAATCATCATCAACCTAATCATCATCCTCATCTTCATCCTCATCATAAACTTCCTCCTCCTCATCATGTCGCACTGTGGCTGAGGTTCGGCCTCTGTCTCCAGCTCCGGTACAAACCCTCCACCACCACCACCTTCCTCACCGGGAGAGTAGAGCCTCGCCAGCTGTCGAGCCCCGGCGTGCTGCGGTCCCCAGCGTGGCGCCGCGCTGCGTGCGGCCGCCCCGTGCTCATTCCCGTTCGGATCCTCCTCCGCCATGGACCGGTGCCTGATGTCGGTCTCGGAGAGAAGCGACGCCGCCATGACTTCTGCTGCTTCCGCTGCCCCCCCCCCCGGCTCTGGCTCTCAGCTACACAGCATCAACGACGCGGGGCAGTAACTGGTCGGTGTCCCGGTGTCCCGGTGTCCGGTGGTGGTGGCGGCTGCTGGGGCTGAGCGGAGCCGAGCAGAGGAAGGGGAGAGGCGGCTGAGCAGAGTGACGCTGGCTGGGAGGAAGCACCGGAGCAGCAGCCTCCTGTCACCCGGAAACACACGCACGGAGCTGCGCCGACACACGGAGCTGATTCACGGGCTTTTACCGGCGGCAGCTCCCGCGAGGACCCGTCAGAGTTTGTGAGACATCAGCTGCTCGTGGTCCCGATTCACTCTTATTGTTGTGATGCTGATGAACTCACTTTATTTCTGCTTCCTGTTCATGATCACGTCACCTGCTGCATCTGGTCTGAGAGGAAGAGGAAGTGGAGGAGGAAGTGGAAGAGGAAGTGGCTCCTACTACAACATAAACACTGAACAACATGAGTTTTGTATCTCCGGGATTCTGCTGCTGTTTTTAACTTGCGTCACGTCAAAGTCTGGTGTAAAGATTCAAATGCTTCTGCTCGTCTGGTTTCTCCGTGATATTGTAACTTCTCCACCTTATTATCTAAAGTGCATTGAGACCAATGTATGTATCACGCATAAATAAAATTGCATTGGATGATTTGAACAAATATTAGTGTTGTTTGACCCTAAAGGTTGTGTGGATATTTGGCAGACGCACCATTCGCAGTATTGAAACATAGTAAAAACCAAAAACTAGTAATGGTGACTGAGTTTAAAGCTCTGGTGAGTCCGGTCAAGTGTTTTATATGATCGTGTTTTTATTTATTTTGCTGCTACTCTTGGTCAGGTCTTCCTTGTACGAACCCTCTCGAATAAATAAAATAAAACTTTAAAAAGACCAGATCTGTACAGAAGGAGTTTTACAGTCATCTCAAAGTTAATGACGTTTCCTTGTTTGTTATTTATCTATATTGTTGCTGTTCAGTGATGTGGACTGAACATGAAAGACAAACAGAAGGACCAACACGTCACAAATATATGTGGATGACACTGTGGGTTTTATCTGGACCAGATGTGGGCCAGATGTGGGGAGGTAAAGGACCAGGAAGACAGGTTCTGCATTCTATAGTCTGATGCTTTTCCTTTAACTGTTCTCTCCTGTAACGTTGTGGTTGTTCCGATGGTTGCTTGGTTTCCTCAGTCGTCTGTCAGAGAGAATCTCTGTGAAACAGGTCACTGCAAAAAATATACCTTCAGTCTCACAGTGAGAAATTACAATGAGTGGAGATCAATATAAACCCACTGGACCAATGAGGAGTTGGTCTCAGTTGTCAATCCTTTAGATTTACAGTGAAGACACTCATTATGGCGAAACACACACTTTCTTGGAAAACATTTAAGATTTGAGTCAAAATATATTTCCTCTCATTGTCTGTCATCTTATATGCGACTCTTCAGGAGTCCGGACTAACACTCAAAACTTTTTAGCTCATGTCTGCTCAGCTGACTTTGTACTGTACCTGAAAACTTGATCAATATTATGGATTGATAACTCGTCAGTAAATATGATGAACCTCCCAGATGCCTTCATTTGGAATAAATGCACACCACACAGCGGTTGTTTATTTGTCATTTATTTATTTGTTTTATCTTTTT